CATTATCAAGTCCTTACCCCCTCTATTACGGTCACTGTCTATCAGCATAGTAAGATGCTATAGAGTCATTGTCTTCTCCGTGCTTTACTGCCTTCTCCATGACCTACCTATATTGTGATAGCGAATTATAGTGCCCCTTAATGCCCTTCTCCTTTCCTCTCCCCCCACCACCCTCTCCAGCCCCTCCCTTTTGATAATTGTAGCTTCTTGGTGTCTGTGAGTCTGCTGCTTTTTTATTCCTTCAGTTTTGCTTTTTTTTTAATACTCCACAAATGAGTGAAATCATTTGATATTTATCTTTCTCCTCCTGGCTGCTTTTAGTGAGCATAATACCCTCTAGATCCATCCATGTTGTTACAAATGGTAGGATTTGTTTTCCTGTTATGGCTGAATAATATTCCATTGTGTATATGTACCACATCTTCTTTGTCCATTCATCTACTGATGGACATTTGGGTTGCTTCTGTATCTTAGCTATTGTAAATAGTCCAGAGCTTTTTGGGGTGCCTATGTCCTTTTGAATGAGGGATCTTGTTTTCTTCCAGTAAATTCCTAGGAGTGGAATTTCTGGGCCAAATGGTATTTCTATTTTTAGTTTTTTGAGGACCTTCATATTGCTTTCCACAATGGTTGAACTAATTGACATTTGCACCAACAGTGTAGGAGGGTTCCCCTTTCTCTGCATCCTCACCAGCATTTGTTCTTTCTTGTCTTTTGAATGTTGGCCATCCTAACTGGTGTGAGGTGATATCTCATTGTGGTTTTAATTAACATTTCCCTGATGATTAGTGATGTGGAGCATTTAAATATCTTTATAATAAAAGAAATAAACCCTCCCCCTTCTGGATCCTGGGAGAAGATGGAGTGAAGAAAGGTGAAAGTGAGGAGAGGAAACATATTTTTGTCTTTACTTCCAATGTAGGGGATCCTGGGGCAGAGCAGGTCTGCTCTATTAGCCACTTAAAATCCTGGACAGAGATGATCCCTTGCTGGAATGTGGTTCCTTTGTGATGCAGAAGAAGTCTGTAGTTTTTAGCTCTTAGGTGTGCTTGAAAGGCAGCTGAGCTGTGAGGCAGTGGCCTGACATGGCATCTTGTCATAGCAAGGGGCAAGGGTAACCTCAGTGCAGAGCTAGAGGGGATCTGTAGAGCTCTGGGGATTCAGTAAAGGAAGTGGCAGACAATGAGGGGTGCTTATGTCTAGTGAGAGCAGGTGTGAGGCTACCAGGTCCCATCAAGTTGAGAGATTAAATTACAACTAAACCCCATCCTTGAGCATTTGAGATCTGTAGTACATGTACAACCAAGGACCTGACTGGGCCTGAGCTCCTTCTCTTATATTCCCACAGCCACATGATAGATGAGGTGGGAAAGGGGGCAGCCCGAGTCTGAAAGGCAGCAGTTGTCCCACACTATGTTGTTAAAAGGACTAACGGTTAAAACCAAATAGGACTAAAAGTTTATTTCCTTTCCTCTACCCAGGGTATGGGGATAGGGATGTGGGGGAGGTGGGAGTTTGTGTAGAAGACAGAGCACCTGTACATTGTCTCTGCAGCTTCCTTCCTTTTGGTCCAGAGGTCAATGAATTTAGCATTTGGTCTTTGTAGTTTGTGGTTTGTGGTTGTGGATGTTTCTTCATTTCATTAAATTAGTTTTCTTTATTTTTCCAACTTTGTTTTAAGATGGTTTCCCAGAGAGGAATAAAGAAAAAAATACACTTACTCTGCTCTCTTCAACTAGTGGTTCTTCATCGTAAATGTCTTCCTTTTGATAGTGTTTCGTAACCATGTTAAGATTTTGTACTTCTCTGCTGACATACAATTACATTTGTGTATAATATTGTTTGTGTGTGTATGAAAAAGATCTCTGAGAAATACAAAAATACTTTTTACCCATTTGCCGTAATATAGCAGATAAAAATCTAAATAAAATTTTCCTTTTTACAGAAAATACTTTTTTTCTGATAATTCGGCTGAGGTTCCAATTTACTTCACATTTGAAAGAACTTCTTTGTATCTTAAGAAATAGAGATTCAATTTTTATTCTTCATATATTTTGTTCTCAGGTGTCCCATCAGTTGAGTTTTTAGACTCTCCAGTTATGGCTGTGGACCACCCATTTCTAAAAGCATTTCAAGCATCATCGAGTTCTTCTCCAGAAACACTAACAGATGGTAATGAAATAAAATTGAGAAATATTTTAGGTGTAGTAAGTAAAAGTATAGACTGATTAATTTTCTAGATCTTTCTTTTTTCCAGTGTTACCATAATTTGATTATCACTTTCTTTTTTATGGGCCAGGCATTGAGAAAAGCAAGAAAATTCATTTTTTATTGGGAAAAATGACTAATTCTGAGAATTAGGAAGATTCTGATAACACAGTGATACCATTTTAAAACCTCATTCTAGTACATGATATTGCCTTGAGGTCTGAATAAGAGAGCCCCCTAGTGGGCTAATTGCTTTCATCCTTCAGGCTCTCCCAAGTGATCCAGTAATAGCTACAGGTTTGCAAGGTTTTATCGTTTGTAAGTTACACATGAAGATGAATAGGATTCATTTCTAAGCACTACTATTCTAGTTTCTTTATTGAAAACAAGAATAAAAATATTAAAGAAGGAATTTTTATGATTTATTTGATATTTAATGTTTAAAAATATTTTAAAATGACAATTTTCTCTGATTTATTTGTATTTTCATATGACCATTCCATGTACTCTTTCTCTGCAAGCTATTTTAAAACAGTTTGTATAGGCAACCATAAATGTTGTGTTGTGCTTACAAAAACAATATACAATAAAATGATGATAAAATGTAGATTGAAGTAAGACATTGGAACCAAGAAAAAGGACACAACTGTGTCAACTTTCAAGACTGAAATAATTGCTGCATTAAGCTTCAGTTTTAACTGAGTATAGTGACAGTCAAGGCACAAAGGAAGGTGGGATTAAATACTAGGAGGAATGTATACTCAGGGCTAATGAAAGTTACACCAATGCTGGATTTTAAAGATGTCTGACTAGGTAGTGACTGTCAGTGATGCAGTGGCCCAAAGTCCTTAAAACCATGTTTTCAGCAAATGCAGCATATGTGGTTGTTTATTTCTGATAGCTACCTTTGATGAAAGTGTAATATACCAGTTTACCAGACAAATGGTAACATACCATTAAAATGCAGCTCAGTGAAGGTGATTCTTTTTATTTTTTTTATAATTTTTTTTATTTTTTATTTTTGAGAGGGCATCTCTCATATTTATTGATCAAATGGTTGTTAACAACAATAAAATTCTGTATAGGGGACTCAATGCACAATCATTAATCAACCCCAAGCCTAATTCTCAACAGTCTCCAATCTTCTGAAGCATAATGAACAAGTTCTTACATGGTGAACAAATTCTTACAT